TGGCAAAATTATTTTAAATAGATTAGTTATTATGTTAAAAATAAAAATGACAATTGGAAGGAAATATGGGCAAACAATTTGAACGTTCAACCTGTAAAAGTGATGAGATTAAGAGGAAAACAATAGTTTCAGAATAATCAACAAATAATATTATAAAAGAGAATTAATATGAAAGAGTACACAAAATCTAATAAGAAAAATGGAAATGAGATTTATCATATCTTTTTAAACTGGTTTTGAAAGTGCTAAAATTATAACACTTTCCACACATTTTTGTTGGAATATTACGCACAAAATTGAAAGCTGGATCATCAGTAGGTGTACTGAAGTATGATTTTGCATAAATATCATATAGGGTTGATAAACTAATTTGAATGTAAATAAGCAATGTTCTGAAGTCATGTAATAAAATAAATCACTTTACGCAATGGTTTACCTACACTGGTCCAGAGTACATTAAAGAATACCAAGCAGAATATTTCTTAAATCAGAATTAATTATTGTGAAATGAATGAGGTAAATCATTATCTCAAATAATGAATAAATTTAATTATCATGTATACTAGGTATGAATGATAAATGCATCGTGGTGTCCATGTGCTTCTTTGGGCCAGTCCATTTAGTACGAGATTATTCATCTCTGAAATAATGCTGCTTAAGTAATTGGATGAAATCAATGTAGATAGTCAGGTAGTGTCAAAATGAAGTAACTAATCAGCGTATCATTGTTAAATGGACAATTAACCATGATTAACTACAATTTATGATTAAAATATATGATTGTCAGGTGATAACTTAGAAACTTATCTTCTTCCACACAAATATAAAGATAATTTTCTTCTATTAACTTCGTGCTATTTGTAAAGCACTGTATCTTTCAGGTTGTTAGATAATCTCTTTGCTCCTCTAAAGAGCCCTGTGAGATAAGGACATTTTGCCATTTCAACTGAAAATAGAGTTTTGATTTCAGATGTCAGGCCAAACATGCCTGCTTACTTGTCCTAATACACAATATCTCATTGGAATGAAATGCATACACCTATCTGTCTGTTTCAGCATCCTTCTATATACGGATATATCAAGATTCATCGCAGTGCTAGAAAAAAGCAATATTTTTGGTGAATCAGAAATATTTTTGACAGATGGTACACTTCCTGTGTTATTTAAATCATACCCTTTTCTTATGTTCTTTAAGTGTTTCTATGTGCTTAGCATCTCGTCAGTCACTGGTAATATCACCAAAATTCTTCTTTGGTGATCAACAGCTCCTGCACAGAAGGAATTTCTCTGTGGATCTGCCACCAGACCCAGTTTTGCTCAGTATGACTTTTCCCTGTGGAATAAAAATCTTGAGAACCCAATGAAACCATGGAAAGCGAAACCAAAGACAAGAAGGGACTGTAGTGTGTATTTTATCGAGAGCTTATAGGATCTTTCTATGTGTAGGAATTCTTTGAAGCCTGGAATGAATGTTAATTCACCTGGAAGGAATTGATTTCCTCCCCCTCCCCCAGGCATTTAGAATTACAAAAACAAAAACAATATAATTTTAAATAAGTGTTTAGTGCCTCACAGGTGGTGTGAATTCTAGCCCCAATACCAAGACTTATGGTTAGTAATTTTCAGACTTTGTCCTTTTTCCATTCCATTCGGCACCACGAGAAGGAGAGGAAGGTGTCTCCCGGCCCTACGAGGTGGGCTTTTCCTAGTTCACCTTCCGAAGGTACTGCCTTTTGGGGCTTTATGAGGGACGATGTCCATATCTGAGTTATTTTTTATTTTCTATGCTAAATGATAAGTACTTAATATACATGAGGATATTTTAGATATTTAGATATTCTTTACAAGAATGATCTATTTTATTTTAATGTACCATAAACTCAGAAGACATAGAATAATTGGAAGGTAGATAATGAATCAGTGATCAATCCTGATCTGTATTTCTATTCAGCCATAAATGCTACTTATCTGCATATGAATATACATTTCTAAATAATGAAGAAGCAGTGTTTAATATTGTTTAAAGTTTCTTTAGTACGAACCCTTACAAAAATAGTAAATACGAACCCTTTTCTAACCAAGATGTTTCTTAACATTATAAAAACAAACTAAATATAAGGAAGACATGTTCAGATTAATTTCTCTCAATGGAAAATCAAATTTAAAAATGGCATTCGTTGTCCTATTCTTTCATATTGTTCTATGCCTAGTCGTCTAGTTTTACAAGAGCTGATATCCATTCAGATAATGAGTGGGCTACCTGAGGCCGCATTAGCCTTACTGATCAGATGATCTTCTGTTCCCAAACCATGTGCGAGTCCATTAGGCCAACGAGCTGGGGTTTATCTTAATTAAGAAGATGTCCCATAACAGCCTTTCTAATCGCTGGTTTCTGTTGAAACTGAGACCTCATCTGTCCCAGTGCGATGCCAATAGCCAGGAAGGAATTGTGCTACTTATCATGACTTCTTCTAACTGATCTGAAGATTGGAATGAGATAGTTTTATTAGACTTGTGATTATTTCCTGGCATGTGATAAACAACAGAAAGAAAAATAACAATGCCTGATATCCAGTTTCCGTGAATTCTTCTTATTTTCTTCTCATTATTTACCTTTAAGATAAAATTAAGTTCGTTCTTTTCATACTGGTCTAATGCTTTCAGGCTTAAGAATGTGGGTCTGAGTTTGGATGAGGCTCTTTAAAACCTAACTTTTAAATGCAAATCAACTTTATTTCCTGAATTTATGAATATGACCTTTAAATAATAATGATTAAAACCTTATATAGTCCATGACTGCATCTTTTCAATTAAAACTGAGTTATAAGCCTTTGGTTCTTTCGATGTCATTTGTCATTTTCTGTGCCGCCCCAGAGGAGAGAGTGCGAGAGAGGCAGCACTTACTTTGACATGACTGGCATGAGGTCTTTGTAATGGGAAGCAGGGTCAGAGGCCAAATGAGTAAACCTAAGAAACACAATTAGGGGGATGTTACGTCTTTCACAGGTAGTCAGTGTGGTTTTTTCCTTTGTCAAAAATAGTCATATTTAAAATTTCTTAAGTGCGATAATACACATTTGTGGTAATGTCATTAAACTCAGAGTGCTTAGCTAGATGAAAAGAGTTTTGCTGTATTGTCTTCATTAGGATGCACATTTGCAGTGATTGTTAGACCACAGACACACACTTGGGGAGCAGGGGTGCCCCCATCGAGTGAGTCGCCTCATCGGTTTTGCTGCAGTGGTCTGGTTGGCCGGCTTTTGCATTGTTGCCTCGCCTTCAATAGCAGGCCTTTATCTTCCCTGAGACCGTGGGTGCTTCTCTGTGATCTCTAGGGGGCTTGGCTTTCAAGAAAAGACTGACAGTGGTAATGTGTTCTTCAGTGTCCATTTAAGCATGCCCTTTCCTTACCTGTATCAATTGCCAGGGTGCTCTCTGTCTTCCTTTACATCCTATTGATTGACTAAAAGAAGCAAAACAGTCTCTACTATCATTTCACCCTCTGGGAGGAGAATACTCTAAAGTGCGGTCTATGAGAAAAATCTCCCTTCGTCTGTACAATTTACACATAGTTCTACAGACACATTATACTTTGAAATCATAGCATCTTAAGATGTGTAATATTGTTTGGCTGTAAGAAACATAGTATGAGACAGTATTTCCATAATAATTTATTTTAGCAAAATAATAATTATTTAAGGAAAATAAATGATTCGTGATAGTAGAATAACCTTTCATGTTTTTTATTATAAACGTTGAGCTCTGAATATTATATGAGGAGAGATTACATATTCTCATAAACATGTCAGCAAAATAATTGAAATGCCACTTGATTTATCTTAAAGTATTTTTCTGTTTTCTGTTGGTGTTTATTTATTTTTTGCTTATGGTAAATTGTATTACCAACAGATACCTTGTTCTATTTTTAACTATAATTTTTAAGAAGCTGTGCTGTTCTCTAGCTTATTATTTTAGTAACGTCCATAATTTTTGTCATGCTGATATATACTCATAATGTGAAATAAATACGGTGAATAATCAAAATTCAAAAATTTTAGTTTTCAATTTTCTACTTTATAAAATCATGGGAAAGATACACGTGTTTTTATATTTATATTATCTCAGTTGTTTTAGGGTTTTCAGAAAAAAATACTGATCTCCTTCAGAATGAACAAAGTGAAAAGTCAATTTGAAACAGTAATTTTAATTTATATATCTAATTGATTTTACTTAAATCATGTTGATAATTTAAAATGTTATATAGTTTAGGAGGTTTTATTTAAATTGCTTTTTAATACATACATTGATAGTTATAAAAGTATTATCCAGTTAACCTTCAAGTGTATCTTGGCCTTAGGGTAGTTTCACAAATTTGAGCAAAAAAAAAAAAAAAAAAGCTATAAATAACATGATTTATTGTATCATGCTAAATACTTTATGTGAACTTTATACAGTATGGAGTGGGGACTCCTAGTTTTGCCATTGTTAAGATGGAAAACCAGCGCAGTGGAGACTACATGCTTCACCTGGGGTCACACTCAGAGCGGCAGAGCAGGGTCAGAAAGCCGTGCAGTGTGGCCTCGAGGCCTTGCTTTGAGCGCCGCGGCATGCAGCGGAGGGCCGGGCGGGCTCCGGGCGGGCTGGGAGCCGCGCGTCCGGTCTGCGGGCACGTCCGGAGCCATCGACTGTGTCAGCCGTGGTACGAGTCCTCGCGCCACCAAACGCAGCTGCGCGGGGTGGGCTCACCCCACTGCTGTCACCCCCTCCGCGGGGTGCTTCCTGCACACTGTCGCCTCGACTGTCTGCGTCCTCCAGCGCTCACGTCCATGTCTGTTGCGGGTGTAAACGCCACATGCCAAGTGCTGCCTATCAGCTGGTATCCATTAACAAATTTAACATGAGTAATTATTGATTAAATGCGTCATATTTTGTTGTCATGATATCTAAAATATTTTGTTATAGAGAAGAATGTGTGAAATAATTATTTCTTTTATTTTCAGTGATAGTGGAAAGTGGAAATATAATTTCTTTCGTGGCTTTTATTAATTCTGGATATTGTAACATTTATAAACCTATTGTTGGACTTGTGAAACTACAGTCAAAAAAAGTGGTAAGTTTTAAGCTTATGTATTCTCTTTAATCCTTTAATCTACTCTAATGAGTAATGAACATCTTTTTTTGTGCTTATTGGACATTTATTATTTGTCTTTTGTGGAATTTCTGTTTAATATTTTTGACTTTTTTTTGTTGAGTTTCTTTTCTTTTGACTGAGTTGCAAGCAATGCCTCTGATAAGGGCCTAATATCCAATATATACAAAGAACTCATACGACTCAATAACAATAAAAAAACTAACGATCCAGTCAAAAAATGAGCAGAGGACCTGAATGGACACTTCTCCCTAGAGGACATACAAATGGCCAACAAATATATAAAAAGATGCTGAACATCACTACCTATTAGGGAAATGCAAATCAAAACCACAATGAGATACCATCTCACGCCTGGTAGAATGGCTATAATTTACAGTACAAGTAATAACAAATGTTAGAGAGGATGTGGAGAAAAAGGAACCCTCATACACTGCTGGTGGGACTGCAAATTGGCACAGCCACTATGGAAAACAGTATGGAGGTTCCTCAAAAAACTAAGAATGGATCTACCATATGATCCAGCAATCCCTCTACTGTGTATTTACTTTAAAGACTTGAAACCTTATATCCAAAAAGATATTTGCATACCGACGTTCACAGCAGCATTATTCACAGTGGCCAGGACATGGAAGCAACCGAAGTGTCCTATGACAGATGATTGGCTAAAGAAGCTGTGGTACATATATACAATGGAATATGACTCAGCCATAAGAAGAGATGAAATGCTGCCATTTGCAGCAACATGGATAGACCTTGAAATAATCATACGAAGTGAAATAAGCCAGACAGAGAAGGTTGAAAATCACATATCACTCATATATGGGATATAAACCTAAAAGCCACAAATGAACAGGACAAACAAACAGAGACTTATGGACATGGACAATGGACTGGTGGTTACCAGAAGGTAGGTGGGAGGAAGAAAAATAAAAAAGTAAAAAGTTAAAAAAAAAAAAATATATATATATATATAAGCTTGAAAAAAAATGTTGATTAAAAAAAAGATACTAGAATGTAATACAAGTTGTAAGATATGTTGAGTTGTGAGACATAGAAATGACCAATAAGCATATTAAAACATACTTAATGTTCTTATTCATTAGAGAAATGCCAATTAAAACCACAAGGTACCACTGCAACCATATCGCATTGGCTAAAATACGCTTAACATATGACCCAGAATACGACTCTAGGTATTTACTCAAGAGACATGAAAATATATGTCTACAAAAAGACCTGCACGAATCTTCAGAAGCCAAAAACTGAGTGAGCCAAATGCCACTGTTAGGCGAATAGAGAGAAACGTCATGGTGCAGGCTTAAAATGGAGTGCCACATCTCAGTGAAAAACTCATGTTACAAATGAGCATACGGATGAATCTCCAAACATCAGGTCAGGCAAAAGCGTCAGACCCAAAAGAGCGCATTCGTGTGTGTCCGGTTTCACGACGATCTGGAACAGGCGAAGCCCGAACTCACGTGGTAGACACCCTAGTACGCGCTAGTCCTCGGCTGGCCAGGCAGTGTTTGGTGAACTCAGTTTAACGTGGAAACCTTGCTGAATTCTCTGGACGAGCTGTATTCGGTATGAAGACCGTCCATTTATAAAAGTGGCCAATGTTCACGTTAGATGTTAGCTTTTGACCCCCGGACACTCAGTAGAGGTTCTGCCTTTTCAGAGTTCTTGTCACTCTCCTTCCCTGAGGGCCACTCTCTTTTTTTGGTATTTTTTTAGTTTTAACTGTACTGCTCACCAACTCGTTCCTGTTTGGTACAGTTCAGCTCTCCCTGAGAAAATAATTTGGACTTTCGACTTTTTCAAGAACCATGCACACTGAAAATCCTTAGGCCCTTTCCACAAAGTTCTTAGTTTGGACCTAGGTTGTTAATTCCCTCAGTCAAACTCACTTTCCATGTTTCTTTTTTAAGTAGACAGGGAAACCAGTTAATTTTGCCATTAATCCCATCAATTCTGGTCCTGTCACTCTCTGCCTATTTTCTTTATTCTCTTTTAATCCAACGAGTGTGCCTTGTGACGGGGGCTGAGGTGACAGCTGGTGGTTTAGAAAACATACTAAGCTAAGCTATGCTTTACAAAGTGGTGTCCTGGGCTCTGAAAGATGGAATGAGTTCCATGTTCCCTAAACATCTTGGTGAATTGAAAAATTTACCTTGCACATCACTAGATGACGGTGATTTCAGTTGCTTTAGGTATGCTGGACTTGTCAATTTACTATTGCTCAAATATAATTTAAATACATATGTAAGTAAATATTTTCTCTGATTTGCATGAATTACAATTTATTTTAAATACCATAGACCAAAATGACTTTTGAAGAGTATTTCTGATAGTAACAATATTTATCCAATGTATGTAAGTGGTTTAGTTAAACATCAATTATCTATTTCTCTGGCAGAAAAAAATTCGAAAACTTGTTTATATGGGTAAAGTTAAGGAGATGGAGTCCTTTGGGGAAATTAGCGTTCTTCTTCGAGTTCCTTTCACATGCACTGTAGTTACCGGAAATGAGGTTGAGATGGCAGTCATTGAAGATAAGGACCTGTTTGGTGAGTACATAAATTCCTTTCTCTTATTTTAACTGTTATACCATTTTATTTGTTGAGTTTTTGACAGAGTGGGCGTATTTCACACACAAATCGGGACACTCGAGTAAGTACAGGTGTATTTATGTTGTTCACAGAGACAACATGTCTAGAGATGGCCCTCTTTTTTAACTTCATAATATGTCTGATTTAACTGTGCTATTTTAGAATATATTAGCACTATTTCAAAAGGCTTTGATTTGAAATTACTAAAAAATCTCTCTTCTAATTTGCAAGTTACCATTAATAGCAACACTCCCACTTTTTCTGGAATATTTTTTGGTTATTCATCTCTAAATTTATTGCTTCTGTGTTTCTGGTTCAGGTCAAGTGTGTACCATCCTCCAGTGTACAGTCTAGATCAAGTGTATGTGAGGACTGTGGCTCATATTTAAGCTTTTACCTGAAATTCGAAAGTTCTAGTAATATGAAAAGGGTGGTTAGGCAGCCACCTGTGTTTGACCTTCAAACATTGTAAATACTCAAAAAGGATACGCAATTCAGTATAAAGGGTAAATGAATAGGAGTTGATAAGTCATAACATAATAGGTTATTAAAGAAAGGTATCATTTCATATGCAATAAAACTAAAAATGTCAAACATTGAATAAGAGGAGAAACTCGTAGTAATTAACATGGGTGAGAATAAACTCAATTAAATAAACTCAATTAAAAAGGTTTTCACGATGATCCATGTGCGACGTGAATGAATCCCCTTGTCCTGAATTCCAAGTATTTTGCGTGTCTCTTTAAGACTATGTGCCCTCTAGCTGCTTAACTCTGATTCAGCTTACCTCCAAATTTATGTATTCATTTTTAAAAATTATAAATTCGAAAAAGCAATGATTAATTTTCTTTTCTTCTGTGACATTCAGATGCAACCCTCCCAAAGTAAATATCACTTAAAAATAATTCCTTACCAGCAATTAAAATTACAACGTTCTCACTTGATACAGCTAGGTTTCTCTTTTCTTGTACTAATTATGTTAACTGGTGCATGGCAAATACACTGTGGACTCATGTAAATCTGCATTTCACGCAGGAAAGTGCTTTTTTCAAGCATATATTAGAATCTTCTTTGCCATCTGGCAACCTAAAATTCAACTGGATGTGTGGTATAAGCGTCAGTTGTGTTTTTTGTGTGTGCCGTTCATGTTTTAATTTTCATTCCATCTTTTGTTCATGCGGTGCTGACGTAAAGCGACAGGCGTGTCGTGTGCTAGTCAGCTACACCCTCCCTCCCGAACGTTCTCAGGACTGTGTTCGGCTTGTTTCCCCACCTTACAAGGAAGTGTAAAGGATCGTATTTAGTTTCAGAGTCTCTTCATTTCTACATTCTAATTATTTTATTCCAAAGAAGTTTAGCTTAAAAGCTAGTTTTCATAAGAAATTTAATAGTTAATTTTGCTGGATCATCTTTACACATGAGGAATGACGATCTTCAATTTCGTATTTTCGTATAACTTCATTGTTTCCATTTACCCACTTCTTCCGTCAGCTGAAGTAGGTACCCATCTCTGTTAAGCCACAGAGGGCAGGACCCAAGGGGCAGTAAATGTGCTTCACCACTGTTACGTTGCAGACAAATGAAACTGTTAAACTAGAATCAGAAACGTGAACAAAATGCAGGGAATTAACTTGCTGCGAAGGTGAAATTGTTGTTTTTAGCTATTGTATTACGTTGGTGTTAGGAAAAATAAATAAAACCGATACGTTCCAACAGAATCCTCAGTCATAGGTTGATTACAGTGCCTGCACTATCAAAGATCGTTAGAGATAGTGAATTTTGGGGGATTGTAAAATATATTACTGAAAAAAAGTCCATTTCTTTTCTCGAGTAAATAGATCACACTCTCTACTTGCTCTCATATAAATCATACTGAAGAGCCAGTATCATTTAAATGGTCCACTTTGTCAACAATAGTAAATATATAAAGGGAGTGATGCGATCACTATGCCTGCATCTGGGGGCAGTAGGGCAGAATCCAGGAAACACAAGAGACTGCACAGATGTGCTGGATGCCCTGTCTGGAGAATTGCAGGCATGACTGTGCAGACAGTCGTCGAGGGAGACGTGAGCAGTGCTTAGTTCTGCATTATTTAAAGGGACTTCAAGAGTGATTTCTTTGTTCCTGTAAGTTGCTGACTTTCAGAGGATAGAAATAACTTGTTTTGTAATCTTTGTACATACTTCTCAGACATTACTTTGAATGACTAAATAAAGATGAGAAAAGAGTTATTAAGTTTAAACAGATATAAATATTCTTTATTTTTAATAAGTGTCACTGGGAGTAAAATTTATCTGATTATTATTTTTATGAGGTAACATATTTTGTCCAGATGCTGACCTGATAACTCAAGTCATTTAGATGAAAATTATGTGTACCAACTATTTTAATTTGATCGCTATCTGGAATTCTCATTCTACCATTAAAACAAGTGTACTACCTTTGTAAAGAGAAAGAATTGCTTTATATATATATAAAAGAATTACGTGTTTTATTAATCATACCTCGTTCAACCACGCATGATTGATTTTAACTTGTCTTTTCTGAAGGTAACATTGACCCCTGACCTCGAACTAGTCAGCCAAATATCTCCAGCGAAATGGGTTTATTCGGGAACAACAAAGAGCTGCCAGGGGAATGCGCAGCCCGTCAGGCCACCAGCAAGTCCACTGAGACCGAGGGGAGGAGTGGGCTGGGGCTGGTAAAGGGGTCCTTCCTGGCGTGCGGGGGCCTGGGCAAGTGAACCCTCTGCTGGTCCCCCCACTTTGTTTTAAATTAGGTTCTGTTCCCTCAATTTTTACAGTACAAACTGTCTGAGAGTTTTTGTTTTTAAACAGGAAGAGTGTCCAAAGACACATCTCTGGTACTGATTCTATTAATCAAAAGCTGAGGAAACCAGAATTTTTAGTACAGATAGGTCTATTAGATGTGTCAGAAGCAATGAATATGTCCTTATCGATTCCAGAGCGGCCACTTACACAGCTTGTTTGTCAGCAGTCAGCTGGCGTGTCCCCTGCCTTTACATGTTCAGAGGTAGTCAGACGATAGTGTCGTGGCTCTCGACTTCCATTTACAGCTCCCCAGGGCTGCCTGCTGAAGGTTCTCACTTTTAGTTGGAACGATGCAGAAATATTTCTCATCACAGCCCCTCGGGGACTGGGATGGCGAGGCCTCAGACAGCGTTCTTCAGAGAAATCCTCTGCCGTTCTCTGACGGCCTCCTTTCTCCGCCGTCTTCCACGCTCGACGCGGTGCTTGAGGGACTTTGGACATATCTCGCTTTCCTCATCTACTTAAAAAAATTAGTACCTTGTGATGAAGTGTACGTTCTTACGTTCTAAGTTGATTCCTTCACTTTAAAGTTTGGGGACATTCGTTGTGTGCCAGGCAGTCGTCTGCGTGCTTCACGTGTTTCATCTCATCAGACGTTCGCAGCAGCCCGTGGGATACCGTTCGACGCGTGCCTGTTTTCATGTCTTCGCCATTGCAGATAACACTGCAGCGAACATAGGGGTGCAGATATCTTTTCAAATCGATGTTCTGAATTCCTTCAGATAAATACCCAGAAGTGAAATTGCTGGGTCATATGGTAGCTCTGTTTTTAATTTTTTGAGGACAGTGCAATCCATTGGTATTTTCCACTTTTCCTGCATTCCCAGAAAGAGCTAATGTCAGCATTGCCTTTCACTGTGGTGGTTTCCTTTATCAAGGTGAACTCACCTTATTATTTTTTCCTTTCTCTTCCTGCTCTCCATTTCTGCTACTTTAATTAATTTTTAGTTATTACATATTTATCTTATATCAGATTCTTTTCTATAGTAGACAGGTAATAAATTTTAAAAGATGTATAACTGTATCAAGTATCTAATATAAACGTAGACGGATGAATTTTTTAATAAAAAATGCAGTTTACGTATTTTTTAACTAAAAAAGGCAGAGTTTACATATATTTTTTAAAATACTGGCTGATATTTTTCTCAAGTAAAGAGGAAGTGTTATTGGAAACTAGACTTTTCTGAAGATGATGATTAATGACCAGTAATACTGCCATTGACCCAGAATTAGAGAAGTATCAGCTCAGCGGGTTCAGGTGAAGCCACCCACCTCATGGGTGATATCGAAATAGACAGCTGACCCTGACTTCAAGTAACAGAATTTGAAAGGCAGCCAGGCAGAATTTGGTTTCAGGGCATCATCACAAGCAGAGTACATGGTGCATCTCTTGCTTCCTTGGACATGAAGCATTTTGATAACAGTTATTTCCGTCTTAATCCTTAACTTTTGTAGATGTTGATTCTTCAATGTTATAATTATGTGAGGCCTTCATCATGAGTTTATTTTCAGCAAGAAATTTGGATGACGAGTCATATAAAGTTATAGATAGTGTGTTATCTCATTTAGAAAATGCTTTGTCTGCTTCAAAATGATAATTGCTTATAAATAAGAGGAATTTTAATAAGTTTTTGGCTGACAGGAAATTAGCACGTCATACCGGAGTGTCGTCCTGGTTTAGCAGACAATACAGTATTAATCAGATATCAAGTTCCAACCAACCTGAAGGCTGGTGAAATTTTTGTATTTCTTAAACTTATTTTAGAATTAGTTCACATAAAATTTCAGGCCAAGTTTCTCTATAAATTCTATGCTTCGATATTTTTAGAGAGACCACCAAATCTATGTATACATGAATATAATTTTATAGACTTATACTTACATTGTATTTCCTGATAAGTTTTAACATTTATATTATAAAACCTGGCTTAATTGTTGGAAACTACAATAATTTGCATCTGATTAATTCAGTTACAGCTTCTGATAATTCTAGCCATGCTTTTATAATGTAGCATTTTTATCTTTTAGTTACTTATATTATGTAGCAAAACTAATCCCCTACAAAGTACATATCCCTTACTAAATAATTCATGAAAAAGAAAGTCGGAATATAAGAAATAATGTATCCCATCCATCAATGTGGACATAGCTGTTAGAGCCAGTACATAAGATATTGTGCCATAATGTTTTTCTAGAGTATTTCTGATATTGCATCTTGGCCAATTGCTAAATATTGACTATTACTCAATTTTTTAGGAAAGCATATAATGGAGTAGAATGTGCCGTATAAGTAATTCGATAAAGTCACTTCTCTTGACAGTTATGCAGAAATAAAAAAAACTACCATTTTAAAATGGGACTCCTTGAACCAAGTTCCCAGCTTCTTTTTTAGTAAAAGGACTGTCGCTGAAGGTGCTCGTTCCCATTGCTGGTACCCGCTTCAGCCCGCTCCGGATTGCTGCGCCGGCGTCCTGCTTGGAGGCCGCGGCCTCGCTGTCTCCTGAGCACCAAGAGGCTTAGGCCCCGCGCCTCATGCATTTGGTGGAGCCACGTGACTGGCTCTGCTTAATGGAAGGGAGGGACACTCCCGGAGCCTGGGGGTGACAGATGTGGTCTGCCGTGATCCGCTCCCTGTCTGGAAGCGGAGTGTTCCGAGAGAGCAGACACCCCTGGCACCGGGGCCCTGGGCCCTGGGGCCCCCTCCATGGAGAGAACAGCTCAGCAGGTACAGCTGTATGACTTCGTGCACGTGTCCGTTAAACACTTGTTGGATTACGCGACCAAGATTTTGCTTTGTTTGTTATAGCAACTAGCAAGTACTACCCTGAGTCACACACCTGGCAAAAATGCAAGATTTTATGAGGAGTTCTTAAAATAGTAAAAATTTCCAAATTAGGACATCAAATGAACATACTTTTCATGATTATTATTATATTTCTCACATTTAGAAATCTCAAAAAGAATTTCAGAGCATGTTTAGGAATAAGAATATATATGTGCATAAAGAAGGGATATGCTAAGTTTTAGAATACATTTCAGAATTATTTGAGGGGGTAATATTGCTATAAGAACATATATACAAGAAATATCAGAAACATAAATCCAGCTTTTTAAAAAAAATTAATGCACTTTAGAAATCCCCTGACAAAATATTTCTAAAAATAGCTTATAGTTTAGTATCATATTTCCAGAACATAACCAATAGCCTAGACTAGACCGTGTGGTGTCTGTTAGCACACAGAGGAATAAGTAGAAGTTAGTACATTTCAAAGAGAAAGTAAAAAGCTAAGCAAAACCAGTAATCAAAATTAGCCTCAATAGACTTATGTCAGATGAAGTCTGCCAAGATTTTATGTAAAATGACCTAGAGATATTTGCAGACAAGGTTCTCAGTAGATCTGCTGAGAAAGTTCACAATGGCCACCTCTTCCGAAGGCATGGAATTCGTCACATTCAGTCTTTATATTCAGTGCAGATATTACATACATAGATTCTCTTTTCTCAGAATGGGCATCGTAGTTACTTAATTAAGACTATTGGATTAAAATCTTGATTTAAAAACCATTTTACAGTCTCAAAGAAAAAAATAGAATGCCTTGTGACATGCGAGACAAAACTTGCATCCTCTATTTACCTTTTAAATGCCCTCACACGTATAAAATCCCACCAAAACTGCCGAAAGTTTATTAGAAGTTAAATCTGAGTTAAAATTTTCAAGGTCTGTTCCCCAGGAACACTGGCTTCCCGCCCTGAGAAGTTCCTGATGTGCTGGTAGGAAATACCTACACGATCCTCTGTCTACCTGTTGCAGGCCTTGGAGCTACTGGAATGATTTTGGTGAGAGATACATAGATCTCTTGGGGCAAGAACTGCACTTTCTCTGTAAACATTCCATAGTTTTACTATTTAATTATATGTTGGCTGAAAAATTTGGAAATTATATAAGAATAGGAATCACAACATCAAATAAGTGCTATGGAATTGGAGTGACTTTCTCCAGGCCTCAAAGACAGCAGATGTAGATGCCCTGACGGGAGGGAGCAAGGTAACCAAAATTCGGGAAATTGTGCATCCGCGTGAGAAGGCTGTTCAGAGAATAGTGAGTCAAAGACTTGGTCTTCCAGATTCTCTGTTGCCCGGTAGCTAATAGAGTTAGCTGAAGAAATGACCAGCTGAGTGGAGAAGAGGGTGCAGTGCAGTCAGCTACTAGGTTACAGGAATAACAACAGTAATGCTAATAGCGATAATAGCGATATCACATTATAAGCTACATGTTTATTTTTTGTGGACATGATCAATGGGTGGACTTTGCCACCTGTTGACTAGCTGTAATAATCATCCTTGCTGAGTATATTACAAACATGCTACTGTGCGAGGGACGACGTCAAGTCCAAACTGCCTTGAAGGTTACAGTTTAGCCTAGTGATGCGAAATAAGGTCGCTAACAATGCAAAGCGCTGTAAATGTCAAGTAACTGTGTTTCGGCTCTAAACATATTCGCCGTTTAGAGGACGAGATGGCGATGCCCTGGGGAGTGCAGCGGTGGCGTCCACCTTTATGCAGATTCAGATCGAGTATGCAATTTTAATCCCGAAATCCAGCCCCCGAGAGGGACCGTCTTGTTCGGCCACTTACTATTTTGTTATCTCCTTTGCCTTGCCGTCCACATTCTCCTGTCATCATCGCCCTCTCCTGTCTCTCTGCCCCTCATGTCTCTGTCTCACGCGTGCCACCTCCAGACACGCGCACACGCATGCACACACGCACGCACACACGTGCACACACACATGCACACACACACAAATGGCTAATCAAGGCCCAAATAATGACTATTTATCTGCTTTAATCTGCATATCCAAGACTGTGGTGATCAGAACCGACCTTCGTAGGTGATGTGTGTGCTTTATTTTCACTTAATATTTAAGAACTTACGTGTTTTACTTCTCTGGTTAGAGGTGGCTATCTGTATATCAAAAGGAGACAGACATTCTTAGTTATTTTTTAACAAAAACATTTAGTTCAGGTTTCAGATAATTAAACTCATTATTCATTTGAAGAAGCCATCTTGATTTTCAAGTTTCTTTATGGCTCTTTCTCTGCCGAGTCTTAATAAAAAAGAAACAGGTAAAAAAGAAAACATCATTTTTTATGAGGGCTAAAGAAATACCTCTGTTATCGTCATTACTGCCATGATGAAGCAAATCAAGGTCAGACATTATTTATTTCCTCTTAAGTAAAGACACTAAACCTCCAAGTTTATTAAATTAAAGTAAAATGATATTATTTTAATACTTTGTCCCCATTTTGCTTGCTAAACATAGATCAACAGCTCAAAGTGTCTTACTTAATGCTTCTCACTTGAGAATATAATGATATGAAATTAAATATATGCTTTGAATTTGGCATATATGACTATAGCCTCCTAGATGAAGATTTAGCATAACAATTATAGATGAATTGATTTAAAGATTGTGCAGATATGTAGTTGTTTGTAGGGGTATGCTATTTATGATATTGGCATGGTATTTTTTTTGCCGGTAATGAAAACAGTTATTTTTAATGCCACTCTATGGCTTTTGGAACACAAATTCTGGGGAAAAAGGAGAGAGACAATATTTAAAAAGTATATTATATGTAATACAGCATATCGAATTATAAGTCTTCAAGGGCAAAGCTAGTGCTTCAATTGTTATGCCTTCCTTTTTGTAATATAGTGTTTTTAAATAGCTAAGATTACTTTTAACATTATTATTGTGGGAAAAATCAAGATAGTACCTAAAAGTAGTAAAAATAAATAAATAGCGTACCTAAAAGTAGTAAAATTCCTTTTCGAATCGCCCTAGTTTTCCACTCTTGAGGGAAGAAAGCTACATTATTTTTTAATTTCCTCCAAGACTTTAAACATACATTTACATAGGTTTATATGTATGCAAAATTTTAAATACTAACATAAGTTAGTATTTAACGTTTATGTGTTCTAGTTTTGAGCAGGTAATAGTAATACGACTTACACAAGTCAGAGGAGTAAACTGCATCCCATGACTAGAAATGTTTGCATAACTTGGCGAGTATACCGACTTTCCTGCTTGTGTGTACTGCATCATCTGTCACCTTGAGCCAGACCCATAAAAAGGTGGCAGTCTAATCAAGTCCAGTGATCGTTTGTTTGATAAGAGAGAGATCGAAGAGGCGGGAAGTAGAGGTGAAGCACAACTCAGCCACAAAACTAGGGACGGACCTTGTGTCTCTCAGTTAGTGGTGGAGATGAAGCGAGATTACATTTTCATTCACAGTGTTCAGAATTCCATGTCCACGACCTTCCTTTTAACAAAACCTGGAATAACCACAGAGGCGCAATTGACAGCTTCAGTTACTCTGTCATAAGTGGATGATTAAGTTGTACTCGTCAGTATCCCCTCAGTTTTTAGGCGTCGGCCTCTTTATGTTATGGTCTGGGTCATACGTGTGTTATAGACAGACAGGTACACCTTGTTAATTAACAAATTTGAAGTATTTTCATATCTTCTTAGATTTTTATTTCTTGGAGACTCTAAATATTCATGTTTGCATTTTGTTAGTTAAACTTTTTAAGAATTAAACCGTTTTTTCATTTCTGGAACCACCTCATTTTATCCCTATGTGTTGACATATACTGGGCACTCTTTTTTTGCAAAAATAGACCTCCAGAAAAAATAGAATTTCCTAGTTGTATGTGAACTGCTCGTTGATCTGTATCAGAAATGTAATAAACACCGTCTATATCTGTTCGAGTTGCATAAAGTTAACATGCATTTAATACACGGTCCCGTGATCTTTCTCAATTTTTTCAGATGTCGTTGAGTGTATTTTTACGCTCAGTTGCATACATTTTCGTAAAACTATAGATCTCTTTCTGTAATCCAGCTTTTCTTTAGATCCGATCCATCCTCCTCTGTTGTAATCTGATCACGCCTTTCCCTGTCCCACACCTCAGAGGCCGGTCGCGTTGTGTGTATGTAATTGCCTGTGTAGTTCCTGTCTTAGAACTTCCCGCTCACCCCGTCACCCGTGCCCAGTCCATTAAGCGGTGGACATATTTCGCCCGAAGGCTTCTGCATGACTTTCCAAAGTTTCTCCTGTGACTTACTGGGCTTTAACTCTGTTGCTAATATTCTTTTCAGACCAAGAGAGGCAGTAAATCAAAAACAATTGTGCAGGTTCTACTGCTGGATCTTTCAGACCCACCTATTTTCCTGTGAGGAGAAGATTGTTCCCATAGTGGGACATCTGTCCTACTTGTGAGATTGTTATTCTTCAATGACTAATTCTTTAATTAAATCAAGGAGAACTTCCCCTTAGAGGTTAAAGATACTAAATAAAATTATTTATTTCCCTTTATGTCTTCCATTAAAATGACTATATATATATATGATATATGTATTTATATATGTATCGTGTATACACACACACACACACACACGTGTGTGTGTGTTTGTAGTCTATATATAATGGGACTGGGGATGATGGCGCTAAGCTTGCCT